CACAGCCATCAGGACACGGCTTACCCTCCCAGCGACTTAGCTAAGGAAACGGGGCTTTTTACATCTTATGTCCACAGAAATAAGAATGAAATTCATGACAAGGCCAGTCTCCTCCCGGCGGGTGATACGCACGCACGGACGCCTGAGCTGGTTGGCATGGAGAGGAGGTCTCGCTCACCTTAGTACAAGATGCGTTTCTATACAAATAAAAACCCCAGTGAGCGCTGGCTGGCGTGGCTCAGTGGCTTGAGCACCAGCCTGTGAACTAGGGGGTCGCTGGTTTGATTCGCGGTCAGGACACAGGCCTGGGTTGCGGGCCAGGTCCCCAGCAGGGGGCGCGCGTGAGGCAACCACACATTGAGGTTTCCCTCTTTCTCCTTCCCTTTCTCTTAAAATAAATAAATAAAAACTTTTTCAAATATCACAGTGAGATGCGACAAGTGACTGGAATTTTTAAAAACGCAACACCAAGGTACTGGCGAGTGCGTGCGGCAGATGCACGGTCATACCTTGCGAGCGGGGATGCAGAGTGGCCCGGCTGCTATGGAAATTGTCTGGCAGGGCCTGAAAAGTTTGAACACAGAGTTCCCACGTGACCTGGCCATTCTGTGCCCCGGTATTTTACTTAAGACAAATGAAACTACATGTTCCCACCAAAACCTGTACAGTCATGTTTTTACCAGCTTTATATTCATAATCACCCAACACTGGAAACATTTTAAACGTCAACTCGTGAATAGCGAAAACCCTGGGGTCTAGGCATGTAATGGAATTCTACTCCACAATGAAAAGAAACAAAGTCTTGATAACACACAGCAACACGTATGAATCTCAAGGCATTATGCCAAGTGAAAGCAGCCAGCCTCAGAGGCTACATCCTGTACGATTCCTTTTATATGACATTCTGGAGAAGGCAAAGCTCTCTGGGCGCCAAGGCCTGGGTCCTCCTAGAGCTTTTACTACAAAAGGGAAGCGAAAGGAAACTGGGGGGTGAGGCAGCTCTGGGGCGCCGTGGCAACTGCTTGGGTCTGTCCACGTCTTAAAACTCCCAGACACACACACACACACACACACACACACACACACACACACAGCGACTCTACCCAGTATACTGAAAAACACACATAAACAGAAGATGCTTTCCAATAAAGTTTTACTTCTTTTTCCGACATAAAATGTGAAACATATTGATACAGTTCTGACCGTTGGGTGCCTACAGTTGAAGGACAATCCAGGCCAAAAAAAGAAAACAACAATGCAAAAAACCTTAATGGTCACAAGGAAAAAGAATTAAATGTCCATTTCAATCTATACAGACATCTAGGTTGTGGAGCAGTTACAGCAGAAGGGTTAATAGGACTTGAAAGCATAAGTTATATAACGTTTAGCTAAAATTCTAGGGAGAAAAAGGAAATACACGTTTGGGGGTTGGGGGAGGCTAAGGCTTCTGACTACAGGAGCGTGTTCCTGCGGTTTTTAAATGGCATCTTTTAAAATATGCCATTTTAAAAATAGTGATGAAGTATTTTATTTTAAAACATCGACAAAGACGGACAATAAATGGGAAAGTTCGCCCTCTGCAACTATTTAAATGTAGGATAGAAACGTTTCCACGTGAACTTCAGACGCGAAGGTTTCAGAGGGCCCGCGGGGCCCGCGGGGCAGGAGCCAGCGAATCCGGGAGCCGGGAGCCCACATCCCGGGAGGCCCTGCGCCCAGTCCCACCGCCCGGGAACCGGCAGGCAAGTCACCCCGCCCCGAGTCTCCCTCGGCCCCACAGCGCCTCTTACGTCATCGTGGGCCTCTGGCATCATCACAGCGCCCCGCCCAGTAACCGCAGTTCTCTGACGTCACCGCCGCACCTCTTCCATCACCGTCACCCCCGAGTTGCCACGGCCCCTCCGCTTTATTTCGGAGCCGCTTACATCACCACGGCGCCGCTACGCCTGTGCTGGCGTCAGCACAGCGGCGACGCTGGAGTTGTCGGGGCTGGCGAGTACGTCTCCGCAGCAACGGCACGTCATCGTATGGCGACGCATATGGCGTCTTTGGAGATGTCTCCGTCATCACGACAACGCTACGTCACCACAGCTACCTAGTCATCAGGGTGCTGCTACACCACCAGGGATGGCAATGCTGCGTCACCACAGGACGTCTATGTGCTATGTCGTCATGGCTGGCGACGCTACATCGACTCATGGACAGGTCCTCACACGGGGACCCTACGTCACGGCGGCGACGCTGATGATGTTGCAGCTGACGCCGCACGGGCTGCGCAGCGACCCCCTGCATTAGTAGAGTTAGAATTACCTTTGACCGCCGCGCTGGTGTGAGGACGAGTGCATTCAGTTTTAAAACCTTTTTTAACATAAAAGCTCGGGGTGTGTCTTCTGTTTTTTAAGTAAATAAACATATTTCTCTGGGCTCCTGAACGATGCCTGGGAGTGTGCCCTGGGCCCGCAGGCCCCTGCGGACGAATGGCCCTGGCTTAGGGCGCAGCGGCGCGTCCCCTGGCCGCCAGCTGGGAGCCCGTCCTGTTCGTGCAAGAAACGTGCGCGCCTGGAGACAATGTTTGAGTTTATTCGAGCCAAACTGACGGCGATTGCTGGGCAGCAATGTCAAGGACTTGCGAAAATGCTCCGGAGTAGGGCCGTGTGACAGTTTGTTTTCTGTGTCAGAACCAGAGGGGAAGACGTGGGATGGGGGGGCGGGGCATGTGAAATCCACGGGTGGTGGGTTGAGGGAGCCAGAGGAAGCGGGCGATGGGGGCGTGGAAAGGAAAACGGAGAGACGCGCCCTTTCGTGACGCTGGTGGGCGCTGGGCGGCTCACTGACGCTTACAGCCCACGGGGGTGGTGTTTGGGCAACCAGATGACAGTGAGGGGCTCCGCTGCGGTGGGGACTGTGCCCTGGTGTGGGGGGGGGGGGGGGTCTAGAATAGGAGGTCAAACGGCCGTTTCTCAAAGGCATGTCATTTTAGGTGCAAACGCACAACAGCAAGTCTCCCTTCAGGCAAAGACTGACCTTCGGCAGGGAAGGTGCCAGTCCGGGGTCTGCCTCTGGTTAGCAGTGTTCATGGCCGCGCCCTCCCCCGAGTTTACTGCCACGGTCCCTGCGTGGGGGAGGCCTGCCGTCCGCCTGCGCCGGGCCTGCCTGGGCTAGTCCCCGCTCCTTTCTCGTCCACAGCCCCAGCCCCAGCCCCAGCAGCTCGGCCAGGAGGCGGAGGCGGGGCGGCATCCGCTGAGGCTCCAACGCCCGCCCAGTGACCGCGAGTCCCCGGAGAGACTTTCCAACAACCGTGTTGTGACACATCCCCACTCCGGGCGCGGGGCCCAGCACATCATAGTAAAGGAGGGAAAAGGAATGTTGCATGTGTTTGCAACAGGGGAAAACTGGAAACCACGGCCGAGCCGTGCAGAGGGGGCTGTGAGCGTCAGTGCCTCTGATCCTTAAGAAGCCTGTGCAGCCATGAAAAACGAGCTGACACATGGTGGGGCCAGAGCAGTGTCCAGGACGGCGACAGACAAACCGTGTCCAACTTGGACAGAAAAAGGTGAGGGCGCTTAGTCGTCGTAGGTCATAATAATGGTGGCAGGTGCATACCGCCTCCCCCACGTGTCAGCTACGTTCTGACGCCCCGAATGTATCGGGGCGTCAGCTCCCTGAACCGGGCAAAGAGGTGGGTGTCGCCTCCCCTTTAGAGGCGAAGCAACTGAGGCACAGAGCGGTCAGCTAAGAGGCGGAGCCCCGTCTCAGGCCCAGGCCCCCCGGCCCCCTCCGCTCTCCTAACTGCCCCTTTCCTGCCATTTGTGTAACAAGAAAAAGCAGCAGCCCAGAACCACACCCCACAGGCCCCTCGATTTGTATATAAACGTGCAGAAAACAGAGTCTAGCAGGTTCTGTGACGGAGTGGCAAAGCTACTCACCTGAGTTGTGGTCAGAATGGCCTTGGACGCCACCCCTTCTCAACCAGAACTGCATTCCCACCACACACGTGGAAAATGTGAAATACACGCTATGTTGAAATGGCCAAGCAATAGGCAAGTCGGCTGCCCAGCCTGGGAGAGACTCGTGGAAGCTTCCAGAAAGGAGCTATTGGCGCCTAAGGGCCCAACACAGGAAGCCGCCCCCCGACTCACCCCCACCAGCAAACAACAGGCTGTCCCAGACTCAAGTGTTCACTTTTTAAAAAGGTTTATTACTTCCATAGTGAATTGTTTTTAAAAGACGATAAAACTTGTTTTTCTTCCAGTAGAAAAGAGACAGAGGTTCGCCCCGGAGACCAGGAGCCGCGGGAGGCGGGTGCCACCTGACCCGACCCCCAGGCCGGCAGGGCCCGCGTGGGGGGCCGCTCGGGGCAGAGCCCCCGCCACCCCAGCAGGGAGTGGCCGGCTCAGTGTGCAGGACGATGTCAGTTTGGCTGCAGGGACGGGGCCCCAGACTCCCCTACGCAGGGCCTGCGTAGGCCTCAGAGACCCGAGTCCCGCGGGGGTGAGGACAGGTCCGGGGTGGCCTCACGGGCCTCTCTCCCTCATGCGGGTTTCCGAGGCCCGTGGCGGGGGCTGCGCCCCAGCCTGGTGGCTGCAGAGAGGACAAAGCTCGGGCCCGGCTGGGCCTGAGCCCACAGCCCCTGCCCCCCAGCTGTGGCACAGGAAGCCTGCACTCCTGGACTGGCTTTCAGGACGGTGGCCCGCCCCTCCCGGCGAAGCTCTGTCCTGCTGAGTGAGCCCCCAAGCGGGGGCCGCAGTGTTTCCGGGCTGACGGGGCCGGCCGCTGGGGAGAGGTGGCCCCATGGCTCAACAGGCTCGCTCCAGGGAGAGGACACAAGGCCACAGGCCTGTGGGTGCCCTGGAGAGAAGGTTCCAGAACAGTCCCTGCTGGTGAGCCTCTCCCCTTGAGTCCCCTCGGCAGCATCTCCATCCCTGAGTGTTTGTATACACCTGCGCGCGCGCGTGTGGTACCCGTGCTGGGAGCGTGTGCAGCGTGCGGGTGCGCGTGTGCAGCGGCTGGGAGGCTCAGGCTTTGGGACAGGTGGGCTGTCCGCTGAGGGGGTCCTGCAGAAGTGGGGTGTAGGGGCTGGGGAGCTGGTCTGGCGGAGCGGCAGGGCTGGGCTGGCTCTTGGCGTCTTTGGGACCCTGTGGAGGAGAGGGGAACTGGGTCACCATCCCCGTCACCAGGCCCCACCCACATTCCCAGCCCCTCGGCTGCCCCGTCGACCCGGGTCCAGGCGCGAGCTGCTGGTACAACCCCGCCGGGGCAGCTCCAGAGTGGCTCCGCCGCTCCCTGGACGCCACCTCGCCCTGCCCGCCCCTTCTTTTTCAGGGGGGAGGCCGAGGCCCGACAGGGCCTGCCTAATCCCACGGGAAGGGCAGAGCTAGGCGTGAGGGCTTAGGCGCAACACTGGTACCACAACAAAACTGGGACCACCTAAATGCCCGTCACGAGGAGAAAACGTTTTTAAAATAGAGTCACAGCACGGCCCTCAAGCCAGGCAGCCGTCACAGATGGAAAACAGGCGGGGAAGGCCAGCTGCAGAGCGACACACAAGCCGTGACATCAGCCACCGAGGCAGGCTGGCACTGGGCAGCAGACGAGCCTTCGCGTCAGCATGAGAAGCGTTAACTGTAGCCGATGAGCCAGGGTGAGAGGGGACCCGGCGTTGCGGCTTATCCGGTTTACATTTAAACAATGAATTTCTCAACTTAAAAAAATTTAAGATAAGGATGGGGGCAACCCTGCGTCCCCTTAGCCCGCCTGTGCCTGTTCACAGGGCCCCGCACCAGGCTCCGCTGGGACAGGCCTTCCCAGTGACCAGGCCGGTACTTGGCACCGGCCAGAAGCCACCTGCAGGGACTCCAGGTGTCCCGAAGCACTGGCCACTTCCAGGCGCCGGCCCCAGAAGCCAAAGCCCCAAGTACAGGGGACTGGGGGGGCAGGGCGTCCTCCGCGGGGAGGCGGAGCTGCCTTGACCAGTCAAAAACTTCCCTGGTAACTTGGAAATTGGGTTCTGCCGGCCAAAGAGGGGGAAGACCCCAGCAGAGTTTTTATTTGGGGGAAGGTGGGGCGGACATCCTGGCTCTGGTCTCGCAGCTCCCAGCTCCACCTGTGATAAGTCAGCAGCCCCCGAACCTCGGCCAGATGTCGCCGCCCCTGCGCCCTGAGAACGCTAAGCAGGTTTCTGCTGGAGGGAATCGTGGTGGGGAGGGGACAGGGTGCCACTGAGGACAAACTGCACACAAGAAGGCGTCCCAGGCGAGGACGCTGCCCCCAAGCCCGGGCCCTGTGGTTGGGCCCCGCCCTCTTATTCCCAGATTGCAAGAGGAGCCCCCCAGTGTGGGGGGAGGAGGGGCCGCACAGCCGTCCTGTCCTCCCCCCGCCCCCACCCGCACCGCGTGCTCCGCTCCTCCTCGCAGGACCTACCTGCAGCGCAGGCCAACACAAACGCCCCCCGCCCACCACCTAGCATTTTCTGTTTGACTCCCTCCTCCCGCCCGGGCAGGCCAGGGCACTGGAGGCGGCCAGCTGGCCCTGCCGAGCTGGGGTGTCGCCTCATGCCAGCCCTGCGGCTCGAGGAAGCTACTGAAACCCGAGCAGGCCCCGAAGCTCGACGGGAAGACACATTTTTCAGAAACCAAAATAACAGCTATCGTCTGAGGCACAACCCCAGACGGCGGGCCCTGGCGTGTGGCCCAGGAGGAGGAGCCCCCCACGGCGCTGGCCCGCTGGCCGCGTCTCCTCGACAGGGCGCCGCGTGAAACCGGGGCACCTGGCGCGGCTTCGCTGTCAGGCTAGCACTGCGAGCAGGCTCTCGGGCGAGTGCATCCCGTCAACTGTGCGGGGCTCGCTTGTCCTAAAAACCACCGCTGACCTGAGGTACAGATTTAATCGGGAGCCCTCTCATTGTTATTTCTTCATTTTTCTGTGCGTATTTGACTATTTTTGCTCAATCTGGCCATCCTGCCCTCAGGCCAAGCCCTGGATATTCAGCTGGTGCTCAGAGGCGGCCTGAATTCTTTTCTCTTCCTCGGTCCCCCCAGACTTCATGTGGACCTGTCTACACCAGCCTCCCCCTAGGAGGCTGTTGAAATGCAGACTCCAGGGCCCCTTCCCAGTTCTCCACCAGGAGGTCTAGAAGGAGCTGCGTGTTTCGCAAACATCCTGGAGGAGGCTCCGGCCCCAGAGCCGTGAGAAGCAGCTGACCCTCACCCCACGCTGCGGCCGTGCCAGCCAGACACCGGCCCCCAGGACACCTGGCGTCCTGCGGGGCAGCAGCTGCCATCCACTCGGAGGCGAGAGTGGTTCACCAAAGCAGGAGATACAAATAGGCATCTCTCCGCCGCCGACACTCCCGGTGAGGCTTGGGCAGCAGAAACGCCCGGGAGTCTCAGGCGGCCGGAGCGCTACTCACTAGGGGAGGGGGGGCGTTACCTGGTACCCACCTACAGTCTTGCTTCTTGCAGCACCGTGCCCTTGGCAGTTGGTGTCATCAGGGATTCGGAGTAAGCCTGCATGGCCTCCTTATCCTTTGAGCCTTTTTTATTACTACTCCAAAATAAATAGCATCTCTCCTAGAAGACAACCAAGCTAATTTATAGTTGACGTTGGGGCCACACAGAAAACGTTTCACATGGTTCTTGGACTTCAGAGAAGCGCGGAGGAGGCTGTGGGATTCTGGCGTCCGACAGCGCTAACAGGAGGGGCTGGGGCGTGGCGGGGGCTGGGGCCGGGGGCGGGGCAGGGGGCGGGCCGCCCTTCGCCAGGGTAAGAAGCCTGGCTTCTGCAGGAGACGCGCCGGGTGGGCCGGACGGCTGAGCTGAAGACGGTGCCCGCTCAGGCGTTTAGGGGTCAAGGCCCAGCGGGCCCAGCAGGGGCATTTGAAATCAACCGGAAACAGATTTTTCTGTTAAAAGACTGTTGATTCTTTGTAAAGCATAACTTGCAAAGAAAGACTTCTCTGAAGAAAAATTTGAATACGTGGAGTTTGCCGGCAGGTGACCCTTTTTTTTTTTTTCTAATTGGGACAAACACGGGGCGTTCGAGGCCTGACCCCAGCTAGGCCGGAACACACAAAATGGGATACGTTTTAGTTGGGCGGCCTCCACGGAGACCTGAGGGGAGGGAGCCCCAGCTGGCTCGCCGCTGGGGACAACGGGAACAGCAGTGTTCTCAGCAGGCTTGGGGGCTGGGCGCGGATCTGGGAGTGAGGCCGGGAAGGGGCCCAAGCCAGCGTTCCACATGGTGTCCTTGCTCCCCTCCTGGCCCCCTTCCGATGGGCGATTAGGAGACAGAGGGGACAGAAGGCGGAGGCTGCCTTGGCCCCCTCCCCTGGCCCAGCCACTCACCAGGTAGACCCCCGGGAGGCCTCGTGTGTGGCTGAGTGTGTCTTCACCAGCGGAAGCCCACCCAGGAAGCACCCACGGGCTGGGAGCTCTGGCTTCTGGTCCCTTCTGCCCTCTCAGCGTAACTTAAATCAAAAAACTGGAGGGAGTTCCCTTCTGCTCACTGGCGTGACAGCCCCACTCAGCTCAGCGGTCACTGGGGCAGTGACAGAGCACAGGGGCCCCCAGCAGTCTCGTGACACCCAACGTTGGTTGGGGCTCAGATGCCAGAGGCCGCGACCCGGCCAGAGCTGGCCGCCCTTTCCCCGGGGCATGGGCGCCTGGAGGCCATGGTGAAGGGTGTGAGGGCTCAGGCGGGGCGCCTGGATGGGAAGGCCTCTCCCAGCGAGCAAGCGAGCGAGCGTGCAAGCCGCCCCGAGACAGGAGGAGGAAGGAGCCAAAGCCGAGGCAGAAAGCAGGTGTGGCGGCGGCCAGGGCGGCGGGGGCTGGGCAGCCCCCCACCCCCAAGGCCTTGGCCTGGGGCCCCAGGACAAGGTGGGGGCCGCCAAGGTGGCTTTCTGGTCCATGGATCCCCCACGGCTTCTCAGGACCCCCTGCGACTGAACAGGGTCCCCTGTCCCTGCAGTGTCCCTGAAGCCCCACGGCCACAGGCCTGTCACCATGGGATGCAGGAGCTGCTTCCAGTCTGTCTTGCCCCCTGGTTTCCAGACTCACATTCTGGCCGTTTCTGAACCCCCGAGACTGTGCCCGGTGCCTCGGGAAAAAGACAGCTGCACAGCCCTGGCCGGTGCGGCCCAGGGGGTTGGGCGTTGTCGCGCAGAGCGAGTGGCGGTTGGACTCCTGGTCAGGGCGCCTGCCTGGGTTGTGGGTTCGGTCCCTGGCTGGGACACGTTCAAGAGGCAGCCAACCGGTGTTTCTCTCTCACGTGGAGGTTTCTCTTCCTCTCTTTCTGCCTTCCCGCCCCCTCCGAGGATGCAAAGGATGCGTGGCATCAAGTCAAGAATGGGTACTGTTATCACCCCCTCTTTCTCCGGCCTCCAGAGGGTGGCTGTCCTCTTCTCCAGCTATGCTCCCTTCCAAAAATAAGCTGTGCCCTCACGGTCAGAGCCACCACCCTCGCTCGCTGGGGGCTCCTCGCTGGTCCCGGCCTCGCCTCCTCATAGCAGCTGACAAAGCCTCCGCCCTGTGTGACATCGCCTCGCTCCCGTCCAGCCGCCCTGGCGCTGCGGGGTCCCTTCCGAACGCCCCGCCGTCCTGGCCACGGGGCCTGCCACCGGCCCTTCCTTCCTTCCCGAGAGGAATGCGTTCTGAGGCCGGGCGCCGTGTGCCTTCTTAGCGTCCGCCTCTGGGCTCAAATTCCGCCTTCCCCGACACTCTCTGCAGGTGTCCCCAACCCCCTCAGACACTGCGCTGTCCAGTCAGGACGCCGTACATGGCTGTGGAGCCTTTGAAACGGGGCAAGTCCAAATCCAGACCTGCTGTACGAGTGAACAGCACACTGATTTCAGGGACTTCACATGGAAAACCTAGTGCCAAAATTGGTATTTCCATTTTTATATTGATTACATGTTGATTACATGTCGCATTTTGGGTCTATTCAGGTTAAATAAAATACATGGTTGGAATTAATTTTTTTACTTAACGTGGCTGTTAGAAAACTTAAAGCCGCACCCGTGGCTCAGGCTGTATTCCTATCGGACGGCCCTGCTCTAGCCCGTCGCCTCTACTCTCACCGTTCTCATCAGCGAAATTCTCTTCTGTGTGTTCACCTGGTTTTCATCCGTTACCTCCGCCCGCACGCCCGCCCCCCGCCCCCCACCTCCCGGCCTAGACCGCAAGCCCCACTCCCTGTCCCTGACGGAGCCCGGCACCGCCGGGGCGGACTCGAAGAACAAGCCATTCAAGTACCAGGCCTCATAGCCCAAAGCCCACCAGCAGCCCCTCGCAGGGCAGGTGCCCAGGCCCCCAGGACAGGCAGAGAAGACGCCATGCAGGATGCAGAAGACGCGAGGACCCGGCGGCAGCTGCCCCGCCTCCCGCAGAGACCCGCCCACTGCCCGAGGCGGGCTCCCGGCCGGGGCGGCGGGGAGGGACGACGGGGCGCGCCCACCAGAGCCCCTCCGCCCCTGGCAGGCAAGCGGAGGGCCGCTCAGCCCGGCCACGGTCCAGCCGCCACCTACTTGGCTCCGGATCTGGTAGACGACAGGGATGAGCAGCAGGAGGCTCCCCAGGGCGAGGAGGACGTACTGGGCGTAGTGCAGCACCTTGGGCATCAGCACCAGCTGCGTGTAGAATGTCCGAAGCGTCTCGCCCTCCATGGCTCCTCTCTGGGGAGGGAGAACGACAGGCACGTGGGCTGGGGCCACACACAGAGGCCTCCCCACGCCATACCCCCTGCCCTCCACCCCCTCCCCACTAGAGCCTGCGGGCGGCTTCCCTTTCCTCCAGGGCCCTACGAAGAGACTACATTTCCCAGAGTCCCTTGCGGTTGGCTGGACCATGTGATCGCATTCTGGCCAATGGGACGTGGGCACAGGGATGCTACAATTTCCACGTCTGGTTGGGGAAAACCTGCCCCTGGGATTCTCTCCATTACTTTTCTCACCCACTGGACAGGGAGGGATTCTGAGGGTCTCGAGGGGGGCAGGCCCCCAGGGTGGGGGGAGCCGAGCCGACCCTGAGTGGGTGCGCAGAGCAGGGCTCTGCTCCCACCCGCCCACATCAGACTGCGCCGTGCACTTCACTTGTGGAGGCTGTCTGTCCAGCTCACCCTAGTTTAAAATGCAGAAGTAACCCTGCAAAGCTGGGAGAAGAGAAATTTCTCATGAAAAGCTGACACCCCGAAAATCAACTTCCCTCGCTTCAGGAGAAGTGCTCACGGTACAGTCAAAAAACGACCCCCCGGGGCTGCCCTGTCCCAGTTTCACAAGCTGCTGTCTCCCCTCACCCCCAGCGGTCCTTCCGGCTCCGTGGGATGGTTGACAACGTGCTTGCAGAGTGAAAGGTCTCCCCTGGAGTGTTCCAGGTCGCACGGCCCGGCTCCCCTGGCCCAGCCTTCCCCTCCACTAAGGGCCCCCAGCCTCAAATGCCCCCACGGACTCCCCACTGCGGAGCCAGACGCCACACCCAAGGGAGTCCAGTGCAGGTACAGCCAGGTGGCCTTACCTCTTCAAACCACACCAGCGGCAAGACCACCGGCGCGATCTTCCCGGTTTGTCTGGAAATAAGCGAGACAAACCAGTGAGAAGTTTGGTCAGGGAGTCCTCCCGCAGGCAGGCGTGGCCGAGCCGCCGCAAGCTCCAGGGTCAGGCGGGCCGCGGCAGCAAGGACGCCACCGGCGCAGGCTCAGGGGACGGGTGTCTCCTGGCAGGAAGCAATGCGGCCGTCGGGCAAGAGCTTTTTCAGTTGAAAACCCCCCCAGAGGGGGGAGGGCTGCCTGTGATCCAGCCAATAGCCAGTCCTCCCTTTTGGAAACAGACCCCAGTTTTATTCGGGGTGGCCACGCACCCAGCTTACACACAGGTGGAGGCTTAGGCCGACACCTGCTGTCCTTCGGGGAGTCTGGGGTTTGGGGACCTGCCAAGGCAGAGGAGGCCTAGGTGATGGCCCCCAATAAATACCCCAGGTGCTGAGTTTCTCACGGGCTTCCCTGGGGACAGCATTTCACATGTGTCCACTCAACGCGCTGCTGCAGGTTCAGCGTGGCCTGCGTGGACCACGCCCGGCTCTCCCAGCCTCACCCCGCGGGCCTCCTCTGCTGATTTCGCTTTGGACCCTTTCACTGGGGTAAATCACGGCAGTGAGAGCCACCCCACGCTGGGCCCTGTGGCCTTCCCAGCGAACCTCGAGCCTGAGCGTGGTCTCGGGGACGGACGCAGCCCCTCCCTGGCTTGCCGTGGGCCCGCGGGCAGCTGCCTGCCCTCTCTGTGCCGCCGCCTCCTCGGAGGGCTCAAGTGAGGACTGAATAACATGAGCAACGTGCTCGGAGAAATACCCAGCACGGGAAAAGTGCTCCACGTTTATACAGGTCGTTGTCGTGATGATGTGTTACAGTGGACACGGCTATTCCGGGCGCCCCCACCCCAGACCTGCTGACAGGCGCCACCGTACTCTGGGGATGGAGCTCGCTCAGGGGCTGGGGACCAGACGCAGCACGAAGAGCCAGATCCCCGTGACAACTCTCAAAGGTCTGTGGGGCCAGCCACCCAGTAAGCAGGGTTTAGTGCAGTGCAGTGAGTTCACCCAGCATCACCTACAGGGGAGAGGCTCGGAGCACGCTATGAAAGGAGCCTTTGGCCTTTGATCTGCATGTGTAAAAACTGTTGTGAGTTTGACACAAGCAGCATTTTATCGCAAGACAGAGCCCTGTGAGCAAACAGCACAAAAGTCCCTGACAACCCACAGGCACACAGCTCCGCTTCTGGGCAGCCACGTGGCCTGGCCTTTCCCAGGCCTGTTCCTCATCTGCCCTCCAGGTGGCGCAAGCACAGTGGCGGAGACCGGCTCCCTTGAGACCGGGGCTCCCGCCGGCCGGGCAGACCCCGCCACAGAAGCCCAAGCAGGCCCGGGGTAGCAGCTTGAAGCCCCCAACAGGCGGAATCCAGCACCCCCCTTCCCCAGGGGTTCTGCTGCCCTGAGCAGCGTTTGTCAAGAATTTGCATTCACTCCTGACAGGTGAAAATGGTGGCAGCTCCTGTTAAAGATCCCGATTTTGAAAAATGCATTTGAAAATGCATAGGGTGGGACCACACGGGGCCCCTTCCTGGTGCGGGGCAGGGCTGGCCCTTGGCCGCCACCCCTCCTCCCGACCCCGGTTGCCCTCTGCTCTGTCACCCGCCTGCCCAGGTGCATTTGAGCTACCAGACCAGGGTCCTGGGCCCGGGAGCTCAGGCCTGGGCGCCAGACCGGGGGTACCATTCACACCCACACATGCCTCCAGACCTAACGCTCTGAGCGGCCTCCCAGCGCAAAGGAAGAGCCAGGCGGGGGTGGGGAAGGTGCGCAGGTTTCGCTCCCCGCTGCTCCTGGGCGGCGTGCTTCTCTTTCCGGCTGAGAGACGGTTCCCAAAGCTGCACAGAAGCCTGCATTCCTACAGCCCAGGCGTCTTTCTAGAGAACACTTTTCTAAATGAAACTATTTCAAATATGCTAAGAAGGGCAGACGCTGACATTGCGATGAACCAGCACACTCAGCCAGGTCAAAACATAACAGTGTAACAAAAGTTGGCCGGGCTGGGGAATCGGAGCCTCCAACGCGACCCATGGGAATGTAAACGGTGCAGCGGCGTGGGAAAGAGCCTAGCAGGTCCTCAACGGCCGCCCACAGAGTTGCCGTCTGACTCAGCGGTTCTGCTCCTAGGGGTCCACCCGGGAAAATGAGACACACGCCCGAGACACTCATCCACGAGCAGCTGCAGCAGCGCCGTTCACCGCGGCCAAACACTGGAAACCGCCCCAATATCCATCAATGAGTACATAGAATGCGGTCCATCCCCTGTGCAATGGAATGTGATTCGTCCGTGAGAAAGAACGGAGCTATGGCACCTGCGACAACGCGGGTGAGCTTTGGAAACATGATGCTGGGCGAGGGCCGCCAGATACAAAAGGCCACATGTTGTACCGTTCCATCGATGGGAAATGTGAGAATGGACGTGTCCACAGAGACGGAGAGTAGGCCGGTGGTTGCCTGGGGCTGAGGGAAGTGGGGAGCGGCTGCTAATGGATACGGGGGGTGTTTTGGGGGGAAGGTTGATGAAAATGTTCTAAAATCATGATGGGCCCTGGCTAGTGCGGCTCGGTGGACTGAGCGCCGGCCTGCAAATCAGAAGGTCGCTGGTTCGATTCCCAGTCGGCGCACATGCCTGGGCCATGGGCCAGGCCCCCAGCTGGGGACATGTGGGGGGCAACTGATGGATGTCCTCTCCCTCCCTTCTCCTCTCTCTAAAGGTAAGTAAATAAAATCTTTCCAAAATTTAATTAAAAAATAAAATTGTGGCAATGGTTGCACAGCCCTGCAAATATACCACAGTCACTGAATTGTACCTTTTTAGAGGGTGGGTTTTATGGTATATGAATTAAAGCTTGATAAAGCTATGATTCCAAAAAAATGTTTTTAAATCGGTGCTTAAAAAATCCCTCCCACCACGCGAACCGTCACCGCAGAAGGGCTGTCGGGAGCTCCCACCGCCGAGCACCCCGTGTCTCCAGGGTTTAGTTACACCTCTCGGCTGAGCGGCCAACAGCTTGGGTGGGACGCTCTGCCTCAACGGCGGGGGGGGGGGGGGGCCCGAGTTAGGAGAGGACGAGGGGAGCACGGGGCGTCAGGATGCAGGCGGGGCCTCGGCGCAGAGCGGAGGCTCCCCTCAGGGGACACCGGCGGGGCCCGGATACCACGGCCGCCAGGGCGGCTGCCGCCCACCCCTCCCCCACACCCACTCACCCGATGCCTTTGATGGACTTGATGTAGAGGCTGAGCTGCAGCTTCACGGAACAGTTCATGGGGATTCCTGTGACCTGCGGCGACACACGGAGTAAGGGCCTGGCCTCCCCGGTCCCGCTCGCGAGGGGGGATGGCTCCGCTCCGCTGCCTTTGCCCTGGTGCCCCTTCTCCTCGCTCTGAACCCCGGAAGGTAAACGCATGCCTCCCTGCGGCCTCGCGGGACCCTGCCGGAGGGCAAGCGCTGCCTGGGTGGAAAAGCCCGAATCCCGTTTGCCTGCCCTCTACGGCGACCCTTCCCCAAACGCAGAGAGACACCTGGAGCCGCCAGTCCCCCCGACCCCCCGCCGTTAAACAGAAGGGGCCTGCGGGTCGGGACGGCCCATCTCCTCTCAGTTCACGCCAGAGTTTCCTGATCACCTGCAGCCTAGTGGCAGTTCTTCCTTTATTTGTATGGTGCCGCCTTCTTTTTATGGAGAATTTTTACATTTCTGTTCAAGGTCGTGATAGAAAGCTTCCTTTGTACAGAATCTATTTTTCTTAAAAAAGAATAAGTAAACAACGGCAGTGACCCACGCGTAGGGCCTCAGTCCAGAGGGGGTTCTGAAACAGCGTCAGGAAAGCACGAGGGGAAGGAAGCCGGGCTGGGGGCGGGGCGGGGCACCCGGGCCCCTCCCCGCGGGCTCTTTGCCGGGCTGCTGGCTGGAGGCGCGCTGCCCGGGGGGCGAGGGGTGCCCTGCAAGAGCCGCCCCAGGGCCTTAAATGACCGTGTCAGCGTCACGTGCGCCAGGGGGACGTCGGGCGTTCCAACCACCACCAGGGCCTGGGGGGCACAAAGGAGCAGGTCAGAGGCCAGGCTGCCACGACCCAGGACAGTCTGACCTCGAGAACCTGGCGGGACAGGAGGGAGACCACCCTGCGCGGAAAAGCGTCTGCTTGGCGGCCAGGCTGCCTCCCTGCGCGGGGCTGGCACGCTGGCCCAGGGCTGGCGCCCGGGACCCGGGTCTCGGGAGGGTTCCCGCCCCTCCCTGACGGATAAGGGGGCTCTGTGTGCAGGACTGTTCAGGCTGACACCGGCTGTCCTGCGGGGCGTCGGGCATTGGGGGACCTGCTGGGCAGAGGGGGCTGAGGTGACCAGCCCCCCGATAACATCTGGGCGCTCAGTCTCTCATGGGCTCCCCCGGTGGAGGACACACCACACCTCAGCTTGTGGCCGGAGGGAGTAAAGGTGGCCTGGGTGACTCGGCCGGGAGCCCGTGTCCCCGAGACGTGGCCCCGCGGGCCTTTCCCTCTGTGACTGGGCTTCGCGTCCTTGCGCTGGGCTGGAGCGTGACCCTGACCCCGAGGACACGCTGAGTCCCCTGCGCCCTCCCTCCAAGCCCATCACTGAGCCTGGGGCGGCCTTGCTGGCAACCCTCCCCCGTCCGCCCTCTGCGACGGACCGCGCCCCGGCTCTGCACGCAGGTCCGCCCTCCTGTCCTCGGCGGATCCCTATGGCTGCGGCTTCGCCAGCAGGGCCCTGCGGCGCCCCCCCCACCCCCGACCGACCTCAGGGACCAGGGAGCCAGGTCTGCCTCCTGCCCCGCCCTCACCCCCGACTCAGGGGAAGTTTCCAGAGACCTGCTGTGGGGGTGGGGGCTAGTGTCTAGCAGGCAGCACCCAGACCCCACAATCACCCTCCCAGTGTCCCAAACAACAGAAAGGAAGAGGCTACCTCCTCTCCCCTCCTGCCTCGCTGCCCCGCACGGAGAGGAGAGGGCAGCGGGGGGGTGGGGGGGCCCGGCTGTGCGCGACTGGGGGCCTCCCTGGACCCCCGGCCGCCCCAACTGCCGGTTTGCTGCGCGGGGGTGGGGAAGAAAGCCACACACTGAAGTGACGGTCCCTGCTGAGGACCAATGAGAGGCCTGGCTCTTCCCGGGGCTTCCCAGGAGCAGCCGAGACGGCTGTGCTGCAACGAGCTCAGGGAGAGAAGAGGGGGCCACCGGCCAGCACCTCAAAACTGGTTAAAATTTGGGGTGGGGGCTGGGTGAAAGGGGGAGGGATTCACAAGTCCGAATGGCAGTTACAGAACAGTCACGGGGCTGTGAAGTCCAGCATGGGGAAGGCCGTCAGCGATACGGTAATAACGAACAACGTCAACGTAATTAATTAAGAGCGACCGAGTCACAGTGACCGCAGAGCACTGTGGGACGTCAAGGAGGGGCGCGGGGAGGGCTGCGTCAGAATGCAGTTTGTCCTCACTCGCCCTCCATCGGCATCAACGCCACGCGCGCTGGGGTCCCCGGGCCTCCGCCCTGGCTGAGGGGGTTCCGGCGATGGCCAAGAAGTCCCCGCGGAGCCGGCGATCCCGTCTGCTGGCGGGGTCCCTCAACCCGCCCGGACGGCCGACCCCCGTCCCCACGACACAAGAGGGGCTGTGCCCGCACCCCCGACCGCTGGGGAAGCTCAGCGAGCCGATGCAGGCGGGAGCGCCTGGCTAGTGCCCCCGTCACGGCGAGCATGCCAGACACGTGTGCCCGCTGGGAAGCGGCTGCAGCCACAGCTGCCGTCACGAGCCCGGGATTTTAGAGGGGGCGGGGGGAGAGAGCGAGAACTGCCAGGGGCCAGCAGGTCGCATCAGTGGCTAAGAAGCGCCCCAGACAATGGTGTGGAGTAGCATCAGGCAGAAGAGCTTCAAAGAGGCCCATGGGGGTGACTGCGGTCCATTCAGGAGCCAGAAACCCTCTGGATTTTTAGATCCGTGGTGGCCGCCACCAAGCCGAAATGGACACATTTTACAGGAAACAGAGACGCCAAGAGGAGAGGCAATGGCTCAGGACCCAGAGACAGGGAGGGTCACCGTGCGGGCCTGAAACCCTCCTGTCCCCGCCTCCCCAATTTATCTGCAAGATGTCCCAGGCTCTTCTTGTACTTCACAATCTTTATGGTACGTTGGCACAACCGGAGGGCTGCTCTAGGCAATTTGCAGGCTGATAATGTTTAATTAATTTACGGTCTTATGGTCCTTTTATAGGCACAAGTCCCTTATAAGGAGATAATAAAGTTCTTGAACTATGGAATCAGAGCAAAGGAGGGACCTTTGACGGTCTGACACTCTAGAAGGTCCCAAAGCCAAAGAGAGCCAGGCTTCCCCCCACCCTGCCCCCACAGCTCGGTGCCCGGGGAGAGGCGGGGGCGGCTGTGCCGCAGCCGGACCCCCCGCCCCCAGGCGGCCGGGCAGGCTCACCGGGTGGACGTCCAGGAAGAGGGAGTGCTCCTTCTCGTTGGGGTGCAGGCCAAGCACCGCGTCTGCCAGGACGGGGTCGGCGTTGTAGAAGTGTGGGTGGGACAGGAACAAGGGGGCGTCTGGAAGGCAGAGGGCAGAGGGGTGTCAGGCGAGCAGGGTGCGTCGGCTCGTCCACAGGCTTCATGCCAGCGCCAGAGCTAGGCGCGGGGATGGGCAGCCGATGCAACAGCCACCACCTGCAAGGCACCCCCGGACGGCGGCCAGCTGCAAACAACAGTCACCAGATGGGGAGAGTCCCTTGTTTGGAGAGAAAGCTGCCCGAGAGGCGCCAGGCACGGGGCCCAGCAGGGGACCAGCCTGACCCTGTGCCAGGGGGACAGTGACGGGGAGCAGCTGGCCCCGGCCCGGGGAGGGGGCGGGGGGAGGGGACGGCCGCAGGCGCCAGGCCGAGGTCGGGACGCGGCATTCCGGGAGGAAGGGGCGGCAGAAGCAAACGCAGGAGGGGGAAGTGCCGGTGGGGTGGACGCTGCATGGAGGGCTCATGGGAGCCGAGGACACGCCGCGGAGCCGAGGCCGCGTCTGAACTTGGGCGGGAGGAGGAGCGTCTGGAGCGTCAGGCCAAGCAGCCCGGACCAGGTTCCGGCGGCAACGTGGCGACGGTCAGACAGGCGCAGGGGCGGCCCCCAGCGGCCAGGCCTCCCCGACGGGCATGGGGCAGGGGACACTCCTGCTCTGCTCTCGCCCAGCAGCCGGTCCGCGGGGTGGGCGCCGGCGCGTGTGAACAGGGGCGGACACGGGCCCCTGAGCGAGAAATTCACACCCAGACCCGTGCGGTCCACGCTCTCCGCCAACCCACCGAGGGAGGCAGACGCCGGCGCGTCCCCAGGAGCTCAGGACAACGGGCCTGAGGGACAGTGAGTTGGCGAGGAAAGGAAGGGCCCTCTCAAACTCCGCAGGACCCAGGACACGCACACCGTAGACAGAGCACAGACCGGGGGGAGCCAGGGGCTGGGGCAGCGGGAGGGCAGTGACTGCTTGCGGGGATGGGGCCTCCTTCGGGGGTGCTGAGAATGTCCGGGAACAAGACAGAGGCGGCGGCTGTACTAAATGCCACTCAACTGTACGTTTGAACGTGGTTCACTTTATGGTCTATGAACTTCACCTCAGTAAGAAAAAAGATTGCAAAAAGCAAACAAACAAACAAACCAACAAACCCCAGCCTCCCGAGGTCCTGTCCTCTGCAGCCGAGCTCGTGGGCCCAGGCCGCACCCCTCCTTGGCGGCCTCAAATGTCTGGGCTCCTTCTGCTTCTCTTTGCAAAGCCAAGCACCGGTGTCAAATAAAAGCTGGGGGTTTACTGATGTCTGACTTCGCTGTCCCAGGGTCCTTCTACATCTGTTGCCTTAACGTTTCTCAACATTAATTTATCCATCCAGCACCTCTTCCTTTTGACCATAAAACACACACACACACACACACACACACACACTCTTATATAATTGGCTTCCTTGAACCAAGAGCCACCACTTGACTCGAGTAGCTATATTTTAAAGGCGGAGGCACCTTATATCTGAGCTGTAACTGGCAAACACACACTTGCCGCAATGAGAAAGGACACACGGGAACGAATACAATGGAAGCCTGTGGCCGTTGTGCGTTCTAACCAGACACTGCGGCTGGCGCAAGGCTTTGCCCTGCACCTGCCGCTTCTCGGTGAGAGGGACAGGCGAGAGCTGGACAGGCGCCCTCCTGGGGGTCGGCCTGAGGACAAAGGAAACGGAAAACGGAAGCCCTTCTTCACCGTGAGGGTCGCTGTCGTTTGAAGCCAGGTCCTTGAGCCTTTGACACCATCTCCAGCCCTCCCAGGGACAATGTCCGACGGCCTGGAACGCCCTGTTTCCCCCCACCCCCCGTCCTCCCGTCTCTGCTGTGAGAGGGGACCATCAGAGCAGACACAAGGTCCCCGCTGGCACAGGCGGCAACACTGCGGCCCTCGGTACAGGACGAGGCCCCCCAGCCAGCCCGCGAAGGTGGCGAGTCTCCACCGGGGCCTCGGCCACGCCTCCAAGGCCAGGGGAGACGGACGTGGGCTGGACCGATCTGCCATCACCTGTCCTGGCTGTGGACACTAAGCCCGCCTGGCTTTTTAATGGCACGCAAGCGTTTCTTTCTATTTTATTTCCAAACGGACTGGGAGAAACCTCGCCCAGGTTAAAAGTGCTAATTAATTTATGGCTTTATGGCACCATTCACCTGTTCTAATTGCTCAGGAGATAAAAGATTATGATGATGATGATGATGTTGAAGGGTCTCTGATGGGCAAGCCTCAGGCACAGCGCGGAGGTTTGAGAACAGAGAGTTCTCTGGGTCCAAGACATTTTCAAGACCCGGAAAGGGAAATCTGTGGGTATTTCTTATCTTCAGAGAAAGGGTCACAGAAACGCAGCACCAGGAGGCACACACGGGGACACTCCCGGGGCACCATGACAACGCTCAAAAAGCTGGAAACCCAGACGCCCCTGCACAGTAAAGGGGGAGAGGACACGGGGCTGTAGCCCCAGGGCAGGACACTACACGGCTCTGAAGAGGCCGCCTACAATTCCCACAACATCGGGGATGGCCCGCGTCCAAGCGACCCTGGCCGACGAGGCCAGGACAAGAGAGAAACGGAGGAGGCCCTTTTTGGTTCCTTTCATACAAAGGACTTGTCAGGCCAGTGACCAGGAGGGGCCGCGGGGGCGCCTGGGGCTGCTCCTGCTCTGTTTGTTGATCAAAATGCTGGCCGCTGTCTGGGATTTCGAACTGCACCGGCCACGTGGGCACCTGTCTGTACACGTGTTTATGTCACCGTAAGAGGGAAGAGCTCACGTAAAGAGCTTTAAATTCCCTTGTGATTTTGAAGTCCTCTCGGCAGGTGGGCCCGGGCGGGTCGTGCGGACCTGAAGGACAGTCCACCGGGGAACCCGGGGAGGAAGGACCCGGACCGGCTGAGGAGGCCCGGCGCCGCATGGCCCTGGGCGCCCCGGCCTCGCTGCACGCGCACGGAGGCAGGGAGCCACCCAGAGCTGGGGCGTGGACGGCGACCGCGCGTTTGGAAGGTCCCCTGGGCCGCGCCCGGGAACGGCGTCCGGCGGAGCTTCCCACAATGGCAGGACGCCGCTTTCTGAGCCGTCCAGGCCGCCCGGAGTCCCCGGGCCTGGGTGGGCGGTGACCGTTTGAAATGTGGCCAGCGCAGCCCAAGAACGATTACCTTTTCAATTTTATTGCATTCACGCCAATTTCAATGTAAAGAGCCACACGAGGCCAGCGGGGACCATGCCGGACAGTCCAGAGGGCGTATCGTACCAGGGGGGCCGCGATGTAACGGGGGGGGGGGGGCGCCAACCGGAGAGGCTTGGGCCCGGGTCAGAGACGCCAGGAGCCCAGACCGCGAGGGGGCTGGAGGATGGGGGAGGAGGCAGGGCTACCGGGCGCACAGGAACCGGAGGTGGGTGAGGCGCGGGGAAGGGGGCTGGCATCCAAGTGTCAGATCGAGCGACAGAGGCCGGGTGCCTTGGGGACTGGCACCCAAAACCACCGACGATGCCAGAGAGCCTCGTTCCAGCTCAACGGTCACGCCCAGCCCCACGGCCGCACACAGAATAGTCGGGCAGCTCCTTTCCCTGCCAAGATGGGGTGCAGGGCCTTTGCCACGAGGCTCTTTCTCACACCACGTGCCACAGTGTGGGAGGTAGGAACACGCCCTCCCAAAGTGTCCGCGTCCTCACCCCGGAACCCGTGTGCCTGTGCAAGGTGACGCATCCCAGAAGAATCTCGCAGCTCGCCGCCGCCGGGCCTCCCGGGCGGGGGCGTGGCCTATATCGCACGATGCATACCGCGCGGTCTCCAGAGTCCTCGCTCTCCAGAGAGCTGGGGGTGGGGGTGACCGCGGGGGTGGGACCGGAGGCCTGCCGTCAGACTGCTGAACCACAGAGCCGCTTGCTAGCGCGGCGTCTGTCCTGGACCCCTAAGTTGGCGGGAATTTATTACAACAGCAACTAACGCACGCAGCTTTTTCCTTCTCTGCCCTCCTTGCCTGGGGCCTGAGGGGCTCCCCCAGAGAGCAGAGGACAGGAGGAAGTTCGCAGCCTATAGGCCAGCCCCCACGTCCCGCCCTCCGGCCCTGCCGTCGCCGGGACTCGGACAACACGTACTGAACCTGCAGGTGCTGACGTTTTGGATTCCAGACTCCAGGCACGGGCAGAAGCCCTCGTTGGGGGGGTAGACGGACCCATTGGCGAATAAGGTGTCGGGGGCCTTGAAGCGATAAATAGGGATACCTTCGAACACGCCCGCCTCCTGGTAGACAAGCTTCATGGACCTGCGGGGGACAGACGGGGGGCAGAGTGACTCCCAGAACACGGTGGCTGCCGCCAGGTCCCTCCGAGGGCCGCCCACACGGAGCCACCGCTGCCCACACCTGCACCACCAACCCTGGGGCCCAGCGGCCTCGCTGGCAGCCTGATCCCCGTGAGACCCGCTGCCCCCGCCGTGGCCCACAAGCTCTGACGGGGCCCAGCCCCCGCCTGCCCTTCTCTGCACCCTTTGCTCTCGCCCCTCCTGCCCCGGGGCTTTCGCATCCGCTGCTCCTGGAACGTCCTTCCCTTGAACCCTTACACACCGGACGCCAGTTCCTGGGGTTCAGGCGTCGCCCCCCGCGGGCGGCGGTGCCGTGCCCGCCCCCGTCCGTCACCTCGCTGCGGCTCTCAAAGGCGCAGCCACACTTGAACCTGGACGCGAGCTGCGCTGCTCACCTCTGTCCAGGGCAGCCACTTGTCACACGTGGCGCCAGGGCCTCTGAGACCGGGGAGTCCCCGCGGGGAGGCACCGTTAGGTGCAAAATACGTTCCAGGTTTCTCAGACCGGACACCGAAAGACATGTAAAATGTCTCTTCAATAACATTCTACATGGTTTACACACCAAAATGATAGTACTTTGCAATATACTGGGGGCAAACGAAGCTCATCATTAACATTAATTTCACCAATTTCACGTTACCTTTTTTTAATGCAACCAGCAGTAAATTTAAAATCGAGAATGGGACTTGCCTGTTACAGTTTTATCAGGTAGCATTGTCAGCCTAGCTGGTATTATATCCACGTTAAATTGCCTTATTTTGATGGTAATGTGGTTACCAAAACATCCTTGTTTTTAGAAAACACATAGTGACGTATGCAGGTGTCTCTGTTTCTCGCAAAGGGCCCGGGAAACATCTACCCCAGAGGGAGGCGGGGCAGGAGAGAAGCCACCGGGAGGCCAGGGGCTGAGGGGAGGCGTGTGTGCGGGGGCTCCCTACACTCTCTTGCAGTTTTTCTCTGGGCTGAAATTTCTACTTGTACCGAGTGAACACACGCAGAACAGTATCTCTTCTCACCCCGAGCACATCAGCCTGCGTCCCCCCAGCCCGGGCATAGCTCCTGAGGGTCAGGGACCTGGCCCATCTTGTCACTGCTGTGTCCCCAGCGCCTCACACGGACGGGCTCCAGCAGGTTCGCTCGGAAGGCAGGGGAGTCCAAGTTCCCGGGGGAGAACCCCCACGTGCGGGAGCCGACCCCGGGCCCGCTGCGACCGCCCAGCCCAGGCCGACCTCCGGGGCTGCAGCTCCGAAGGCCGAGGGGCCGGCCTGGCTGTCTCAGCCCCCAGACGGGCTTAGGGCCGCCCGGCGGGGCCCCAGGGAGCGATCGCGTCCTTATTTCACAGCCCTCCACACCCCGATGGCGTCCTGGCAGCTACCGCAACGCCGGCAGCTCCTCTCTGCACCTTGCAAACACCGAGAGGCAGGAGTCTAGCGCTTCAAGGCGCGGCCAGAGGCATTCGAGGGGGCGCCGAGGGCTGGGGAGAGCGCGGAGCCGAAACGCTTTCCGGGTGACGATGAAAGTCACTTGCCAGGCCGCGAGGTGGCGCCCCCCTCCCTGGGCCCGGGGGTCCAGCGCGCCCTCACCGGCAGGCCTCGGGGCTGTAGAACTCCAGCGAGGACTCGGGCGTCATGAATGGCGCCCACATCTGCCCGGACGTCCCGTTGATCATGTTGCACTGGTCCGAGTGCCAGAAGTTGACCTGCGGGGAAGCATTTGGACGCGGCGCTCAGGGTGGCCCGGCCGCGGGAGCCACGCTCTGGGCTCCGCACCCCTGGCCGAGTGGCGGCATCCAGGCCGTGCGCCCTGGGGTAGACGGCGCCACTCAGCTCCCAGTGCCGTCCCTGAACAGAAGCCAGGCCCTCGGAGAGACAGCCTGGCACCGCCGCGGGACGGGCCCTGGAAGGCGCGACTTGGCTGGGGACTCAGCCACCTCATCTGTAACGTGCGCCCCCCCACTCACATAGCTACGGACGCAGCGAGCGGGCGAGGTGGCAGGTGGGACACCGACAACCCCCTCAGAGAGGAAGCCACAAGACGCTCCCTAAAACCAGACGACGTTAGCAGGTGGCACTCTAGCGGAAGTTTTTAAACTCGTAACGGCGGCCCCCGGGTGAGCCGCAAAAGCGGCGGCTCTGGGCGGTGAGGCCCGCAGAGCAGAAAACCGGCCGCCCCCCGCCCCCAACCTCCCGCTCTGTGCTGGCACAACACGCCTAGTCCCCTGTGCGTGTCTGTGCTTTTATGTCGGAAACGCAAACCAAAGAGAATTTCAACACCTTCGCTAAGAACAGGCGCTACTGGCTCCCACGGGTCTTCCTGCCGCTCTGGGCCCTGGCAGGGGCGGAATCCCTGTCCGCCCACAGGTCTTTGCCCTGACGACCAGGTGAGCATTTGGCAGGTGTGAGCGGCATTTGTGCATGATGAAGAAAGGCCACCACGGGGTGAGAGGCCAGGTGCAATACCGTGTGCGCAGTGTGGTTTCACTACATTCAAAGCAGGAAAAAACCTGCCAAAGTTCTGTGCAAATGGATACAAAGACCCGGGAAAAGTCTCCTGCTGCTGATGGCTGCGGGCGCCCTCTGTGGTCGGGCTGAGGTGACGCTGAGGGTGCGGTGGAAAGCGGGCTTCCTGTCTGTCTCTGTCAGTCCGTTTCTGATGTCTTCTGTGTTTCTAATGTAATTTATTTTTTTACTCAAAACATCTCTTAGTGCAATCGATGGTAATAGCATCCGTGTGATATTTTCGAAATGTTTTTGTGACTCCAGAGCCACAGGAAAAAGAAGGGAATCTTACCATGTGCGACTACGTGGACAGACCTGGGGGTAGGGTGCCGAGTGAGGTAAGTCGGACAGAGGGGGTTGAATACCGTGTGATTTCATGCGTATGTGAAATCTAAAGAACAAGGTAAATGAACAGACAGAACAGCCTCGCAGATGCAGGGCACACAGACGGAAGGTTGCCGGGGGGAGGGGCTTGGGGCTGGGGAGAAAGGGCTGGGGGCGCAAACAGGCAGTCACGGAGCAGCCCCGGGGACGCACAGTCCCACACAGGGAGCGCCGCCCACCACCCCGATGGCCACGGGGGAGGCCCGGCGGGTGCCGGACAGGCGGGGGGACCACTTCATAAAGTGTGTGGTTTTCTCAGTGCTATGCTACTCACCTGAAACTAATACAAAATAACATTGAGTGGCAACTGTAATCGGAAAAAAAACACAAGAGAGAAACTCGGTTCCTAGCATACGCTTGGTGCTAAATACGCTCTGCGGCACCCACCCGCCCACCAGAACCCAGCGCTCTGAGCCTGACCCTCAGGGGGCGTCCCCAGCCCCATGTGTTCTCCCCAACGGGTGGGACCGGCCTCCGGGTTTTAGTGGGGAAGGTGTCCCCCTGGCCCTCACCTTGCTGAGCCCGTTCCACTTGTCCACGAGGTGGATCCGGCTGAAGTTTTTGATGCCCGTGAACACGGTGAAGAGGCCGGAATTGGAGTTGTTGAGCTGCGGACGCGGCAGAGAACAGCATCGTTAAGCCTCAGGATGCGGCAGAAGGACCCCGGGCGGCCCCCAAGCCCGCCCCTTTAGTCGCGGGCTGTCCCTGCTTCCCCAGCGCCTGGGGATCAAGGGGAGGAGACTTGGGGGCGTTTCAGAAGGGACACTCCCGACCACAGCGTGGCCCCCGGGACGCGGCCGCCCGCCTTCCCTCCCCAATCCAAAGAGAGTCGGATTCTCCTGCCAGGGGCGTGGGAAGGTCCCCCCTCCCACACACACACACAGGATAAAGCCCAGTCATGTCCCCTCTCAAATCAATAAAGACCCAGACGTGGCATGTCACTCCCAGGGGGCAGCCTCATGGGCTGCTGCATGTGCATTTTACCACATTTCACTGTGGAAGCATCAAGCTGTACCCCGACCACGGCCCTTGAGTGACAGCGGAGAGCAGAGTCCCCCTGGTCCCCCGTACTGGATACAAGCAAGAAATACAGCGTCGTGGCGTTAAGCCACTCAGATATGGGGGCTGCTTGTTATGCAGCATAATTTGCATCTCCTGACCCAAGGTTTGTTGAGCACGTTCTGGGTGGTGAGCCCCAGGCTTTGGCACTCTGAGGGTATTTTCTAGAATCAGATTTCTAACTGGCAGCAAAGCCACGCAAAGAGTACAAAGGAATGAGTGACAGTTGGGTACAATCTCGAAGCACTGTCTTGCCTTTGAGGGGCCACATAAGAGGAAGGGTAGCACCTGTCAGGAACTCAGTCAGGGCTGTTCACTGGTCAAAGCGCTAAAGCGACTACTGACGGGCTCAGCAAACAGGCTCCGCCCAGAGCAGGGCCCGGCTGCGAGCCCTGCTCGGGCCTCCTGACACCTGTCTGTCACGTCGCCTGTGCATTCAGAGCTTCCCGAGCTCATCCTTCAGCCGTTGTGAGGGGGGCTCCTGGAGACACTACAAAGAGGCACTGGGACTCTTAAAAGAGTTAATGTGTCAAATTGCTGAGCACAGTCCTGGGACATAGTAAGAGCTCAAAATGCCAGTCCTTACCTTTATTATTATTATCATTAATAAACGCTCATGCAGAAAAGATGGTTAACTAATAATTATAACAGACAAGGGGTATCAGAGACTGCCAGTTACTACCCAAAGCCCACTCTCCCCTTTCTCCTTCATAACAAAACCCAAACCTTACTCAGCTTCAACTCGCCAGCTAAAACGGGCTACATTTCCTAGCTTCCCTTGGAGCTAGATGTGGCCATGTTATCAAGTTCTGGCCATAGAAAAGTAAGTGGGAATTGGCTTTCTCCCTCCCAGAGAGGGAGACAGCTGGGACATGATGTTTTGTCCTCAACTTCCCTACCTGACCCCCACTGCCCGTTCTTCCTCCCTGCTGTGCTGCCTGGAATGTGGATGTGATAGCTGGTGTTATGACCTGCCTCCTCAGAACTCACGCCCCCTTCTTCCAGCAAAGATGCCAACTGTCTAAACTCAGCCCCAGTCACATCGTTTGAGCCCGGATCGAACTGCACCTGAACCCCAGCGTTTTCAGTGATATGAGCCAATACCATCTCTGTTTTGCCTAAGCCAGTAGGAGCTCGGTTTTCTGCCATTTACAACCCACGGCCCCAGGGCTCCCCAGCCAGCCCCAAAAGCCAGCTGGTAGCCGGCTCCCAGGATGTGTGGACAGAGGACGAGACGGAGGCCCCGGCCTTCTCACCGGGCCACACTTACCTCAGCAAACAGCCCGAACTTGCCCTTCACGGGGAACATGGATGGTAAGTACTTGTTGATGATGTTCACGAGGGGGTCGTCATAGCCCCACATGATCTCGCCCACTGTGCGGTTCATGAAGGCGCGCTGGCCGAGGGTTGAGAACGCCAAGGTCATGAGCAGCTTCAGGCTCATGGGCTTGTCCTCCATCATCACCGCCGCACTCTGCAGAGCAAGCGGGCAGCACGGGTCAGAGGCTGGACACTGCCCGTGCCGCCCCCTGGACCCGAAGCCGGGCCTCAAGGCGAACGGCCCCTCCGGGGAAACGTTCGGGCCAAGGAAGGGCCCCTGCAGTGGACAGGAGGGTGCCTGGGGCACCCAGAGCCCTTCCCTGACCCTCTGGTGACCGGACCGCGCGTGCTCTTGGATTCGTGCTCAGCCCCAGAGGCAAGCACATGGCACAGGCCTGGCCCATCAGCGGCCTCCCTCCCTCCAGCACGGACTGGTTCGGAAGTGTGTATGCGGCCTGTTCAAGCCAATGAGCCACGCGGGAACAACCTGCTGGGGCTGCGGGGTAGAGAGGGAAGGTGCCCCTGCTGGCTTTGAACCTAGGACGTGCTAGGCTACGGCCACCCGGATGAGCCGGTCTGCCAGAGCGCACAACCAACACTCCTGGGCAGCACTGTCGCACCCTGGATCAAGCCGCACCTGAAACCGACCCGACCCCTGCCCTTTCAGCAGCATGGGCCCACGGGTTCCCTTTCTGCTTATGTGAGTTGGGAGCAACTTTTAGTTGCTCAAGAGGGTATGTACGTGACTCAGCGCCCTCAGTGCTGAGTCTCTCATGGGCTCCCCCCGGTAGATGACATGTCACAGCTGTCGTCATGTGTGTCACATGCATTGTCACAGCTTGTGGCTGGGGAACTGAGCATGTCCAGTGTGACTCTTCTAGAAGCTGGGCCTGGTGTCCAGCCCTGGGCCCTCCCCTTCCCGGGTCTCACTCGGCGTTGTATCCGTCCTCTGCAGGCGGTAGCCGTGAGGGGGCCCCCCGGCTGAGTCCTGTAAGCCCTCCTGGCCGATCAGCAGTCCCGGGGTGGTCTTGGGGACCCCAACATGCACAACAAGCAGTCAGTCAACCCAGCTGTTGCTATGACTGTCCCCTGCACTGAATGGAGGCCCGGCCCACACCCTCCCTCCAAGTGCCGCGGACGGAGGCGTGGCCTGGGGGTGCCCCGTTCAGCCCCTCAACAGGACCTGCTTTTGGAGGTTTCAGATCTGCAGGTGGAAAAAGGAAAGACGACGACTTTGGCCAGCACCCCCAAACCAGGGACTGGTAGACAGACACGCGCGGGGGGGGCTCACTGAACTGAGAGCGTGGCCCCTGAGCCACCGGCTGCCCCCTCAAGGGACCGCCCTGGGCAGGGGACGGGGACGGGGTGGGGGCGGGGCGGGGGGGCGCGGCCTCACCAGGACCAGGATGTTGGGCATGACAATGTAGTCGCTCTCCAGGCCGCTGGACTTGTCGGGCTGGAACTTGAAGTGGCGGAACTCGAGGAAGGACACCGTGTCGTTGTCATTGAAGGTGATGTTGGTCTTGTGCCGGTACTCCCTGCGGAGAGGAGGCCGGCGGGTCAGCGGGCCTGGCTGCGCGGGGCCACGGCGCCGGCTGGGAAGTGGGCAGCTGGAGGTGTCCCTGGACCCTCGGGTGTCCGTGCACGTCTCCAGCCTGCCAGCGCCGCCGCCGAGCCCGGCCACCCCCTCGCCCGCCCTTCCGCCGTCTGCCCACTGCAGGACCCGGCCCCAAAGCCTCTGAAGGCTCACCAGCCACCCCAGGGGGCGCCCCAAAGCCCGGCGCATCCCCCCGCGTGGCCAAGCCGCTCCCTCGGGCCTCTGCTCACACAGCACCTTCTCAGAGAGCCCGCTCCGGCCATCGCTAGACCTCAAGTACCAACACCGGCACCCCCCCGGGAATCCCGCCCTGGTGGCACCCCCAACTCGACGGCAGGTACCCCGGTGCTTTTTTGTCCTTTCTGGGTCCCCTGTGCCTAGGACAGTCACCAGCATCTGTAGGTGCTCAATAAATGTTTGTTGAATAAGTGAGTGAGTGAGTGAGTGAATGATGAATTCAAGTGTGTGAGTGAATGGGTGAGTGAAGGAAAGAGTGAATGAACAAATGGGTAAGGGAACAAGTGAGTGAGTGAGTGAATGAACAAATGAGTGAGTTAATGAATGGGAGAGTGGTGAGTGAAGGAATGAATGAGTGCGGGAATGAGTCCGTGAATGAGTGAGTCCGTGAGGAATGAATGAGTCCGTGAGGAATGAATGAGTCCGTGAGCGGGTGGGTGGGTGGGTGAGCGGGTGGGTGGGTGGGTGAGCGAGTGACGGAGTGCGTGCCGCTGACTCTGACCAGAGTTTCCGACCCCCACACCTCAAGCACGGCTGCTGAGTTTTCATCCCTGGCTGCCCAGAGCCCAGCTGCGCATCTCGAACAGGGGGCACTCTCTCTCTGCCCGTGCCGTCCCCAGAAAAGCCAGGGCGGGCCAATCACCCTTCAGAGAGGGACCCCTAGCTCCGCCAGCCCCAGCGAAACGTCCAAGGCACGGGCAGAGTCCCGGCCTCGGCCCCTGGCCCCGCACGGTGGGCCGCCGTCGCCGACCTCACTCCCACCCTCTCCCCAGCCCACGCCGGCCCGCCACGCCGGCCTCCCTGCTGCTCCTCACACATGCCACACGCTGTCTGCCCACAGGGGACCTTGCTGTCCCCGCTGCCAGCAGCGCCTTTCTCCACGGGTCGCTGCCTCCTCTGCATAAAGGGCCAGGAGGCCTCCCCAGACCCCACCAAAGATGCATGCGCGTGTGGACGCACGCAGAACGTCCCCCCACCCGCTGCTGGGTTCTCACAGCACTTCACACCCACCGCCTGCCATCGCATTTACCCCCTTCTAGCCCAGAATGGCAGCGCTGAGGGGCAGGGGCCTTTGTCTCGGTCCCCGCTGTGTCCCCGATTGGTTGGCACATAGTAGGTGTTCAATAAATGTGCTGAATGGCTGCGAGGCGAGGGAGGCGCTGTGAGACCCCCGAGCGCACCCTTTGGGGAGCAGCCCCTGCTCGCCTGGAGACCAGCTGCGTGTGCGCGCCCCTCCCCCGCGCGCCCTGCCGCTGCCTTGCTGCCCCGCTGCCCCGGGCCCCAGGCGCGGCTTCTCAGCCCCTCACTCCCCCCTCTGCACCTGGCCCGCTTCTGAAATCATCTCTAGGCCTCAGCACGGCAGCCCCCCACAGCCTGTCGGCCCTGAGACCCCTACCCTGCCAGGGCCACCTCCGTCCTCACCTGTACACGTAGGGCCCACGCTCCCGCACCTCCGGCTGCCGGCCCTGGAGGATCGCGCTGGGGTTGACGATGTCGAAGAAGTAGACGGAGAGGTAGAAGGGGACGGGGATGTCCTTCCACATGTTGAAGGACAGGCTGCTGGGGTCGATGCGCACATTCTGGGGGGCGAGACACATACGCCTGTGAGGAGAGCGGCCCGGCCCCCACGCCCACCCACCCGCCCCTCGGCTCGGGAACAGGTGCCCAGAGCTGGCTCTCATCACGGGCCCCCGGAAAGCCAGCTGACATCACCAGAGGCAGGAGGTGATCTAGTCCTGCTGGTTCCGCGTGTGTTTTAACAATGGCCTGATGAGGAGGCGCTGGCACACGGCGGGCGGGGGGGGCCCGGCGCCCCACTGAAAGGCAGAGGCGGCCGCTCTGCGGCACCTGGGGCCGAATGTACCATTTACTCACTCCTTCGCTCAACAAGCACTGACCGAGCGCCTGCTACCTGCCAGGGGCTGGTCTACAGGCGGGGGGTAGGAGAGCGAGCGAGACAGACCCCCAACTCCGAGCCCCAGCTCTGAGGGGCTTTTATTCCCCGGGGTTAAACAACCGCAGCACATCAGCAGGTGTGAACAGGGTTGCGGTGACATGCACGCAGACCAAACCAGAACACCAAACCAGAATGAAAGCCGGGCGGTGAGGGGGGCCCGTGGGCTGGTGGGGGAGGTCTCGCAGCAGCAACAGCCCGCGTGACGGCCCTGGGGCGGGAGGCGCGGAGACAGAGCCTGTGGGGCGCCCCGTGGGGGTGACGCGCAGCCTGGGGGGCCGCGGGGCGCAGCTGGAGGCGACCGCGAGAGCAGGGCCCGAAATGTCAAAACCAGCACGAGATCTTCCGACGGACCAAGGCCAGCAGAAACACGGTTTTTCTTAAAAGGCCACAGGAAACAGGCTGGGAGTGCACCCGGCGAGGCCGGCGGTCAGATACTCCGGCCTCTCGTCTCCGCTCCGTCCCTCAGCCCTGCAGCCCCCTGCCCCAGGGTCCCAGGAGGTCCCCCCAGTGCCACCCAGCAAGCTCACGTCCCCTCAGAGCCCGGGCCAAGTAGAGTGACCAGGCCATCAGACGCATGGCAAAGCCAGGCACCTGCGGAGGCTTGTGCCGCGCCTTCCCGGACAAGGACAGCCACCCCCACTGTCCCCGAACAGCCAGCTCCAGCCGGCAGAGGCTCTGGAGGAAGCAGAAGGCCCGGCCCCGTGTCCCCAGCCGGCAAACTCTGGGAAGACACCAGGCCCCAGGGCCGTTCAGGCAGGTCGGTCGCCTCTGAGCCCCAGTTTTCCCGTTGGCACCACGGGCTAGTGACTCTGTAGTCTCAGCTGCGGTTCGTCTGACCTGCGCAGCATTTAAGTGGGGAAAAGTTGAATTCACTGCCGAGAATAAAAAAAGGGGGGGGGGTTAATATAAGATGTTGATTTCAGAGTTGTCTTGAAAACTTGTAATAATCATTGGCTGATACACACATCTTCCGACGTGCCGTGGGAGCCGCCGGGATTGTTTTACAACCTGAGCACCCAGTAGTCACCAATAAAGCGACTTCTACACATGATACGGAGGAAGGGAGACCGCAAGCCCAGTGTCCTGCTTCCTGTGCGTGTGTGCGCATGCATGGGGGCAGAGGAACACGCGTATAAGATCTATCCTCTTAGCGAATACTTGCGGGCACAACACAGGGTTGTTAACTATGGGCACCATGCCGTCCGGTGGATCTCCAGGGCTTACTCATCTTGCATGGCTAAAATAATAACAATAACAAGCATAAACAGGGAGTGTGAGCCACGGAGGAGATGTGGCTCAGCGGGTTGGAGCGTTGTCCCGTAAACCCATGGGTTGCGGGTTCGATTCCTGGTCAGGGCACGTGCCTGGGTTGAAGGTCCAGTGGTACAAGAGGCAACCGATCAGTGTTTCTCTCCCTTTCTCCCCCGCCCCTTCCCTCTAAGCATGTTCTCGGGTGAGGATAGAAATAAATAAGAATTTTTAAAATAAAATAAAATAATAAAGAACATGAAAGGAAGTTTGTTGTGGTGGCAGGTATGTTCCTCATAGACTCTGGCAACGGTTCACGGGTGTGAGCTTCTCTTCAAACGCATCAAGTTGACACAGTAAACATCTATGGCTTTTCTTGAGGTCAAGGTGCCACCGTAAAATGGTTTTAAAAAAACCAGCTTCCGGCTCCTGCCTCCCCCTCCCGGTCACATTTCTTGGCAAAGGCAGTTGGGCACGGAGAGGCCTCTGGAATCCCAGAATCCTGTTTCTTCCCTCACCCACTGGCCTGCTCGCCTGCTTTGGGGATAAACCAGCCAAACCAGTAAGTCACCAGACAAAGCCCTGTCTCTCTCTCTCCCCGCCCCTCAACAGAAGGGAATTTGGGGCTCTGGGGTCCTGTCCCGCCACCTTCTGTGGTTCTCGCCCACGGGGAATGGTGGGCGACCTCCGGGCTGGGGGATGGTGGAAAAGCCACCAATCTTCTGCGCCCCTCAGTTTTCTCACCCATAAAATGGGCACCACAACAGCTCCTAGGCCGGTGTGAGGCTTGAATGCATCCGCGAAGGTCAGGCGCTTAGGGCGGGGCCTGTCTGGACGTAAGGTGAGCCGAGCTGCCGCCAGGCACAAAGTTACCTGCCCCCGCTTCCCCTGTTGCTGCCCCACCCCACCTCAAGCGGGCACCGGGCTTGGCAACGCTGCTGACTGCAGGGTGGCTCTCTTCCGCCACATGGGAGTGGGGGCGCCTGGACCGGGCAGCTCATTAGGTCCCGGCTGCGGCCCGCCGGGCTCACGGCCTTCTCCCTAAGTCTCTGATTCTGTCCCCACCCCCTCCCCCAAGGTCAAAGATTCTGTCCCCACCCCATCCGCCAAGGTTAAAGATTCTGTCCCCATTCCCTCTGCCAAGATTAAAGAGCACAGCCCGGAACGCAAAGTCTTGCGGGGAGAGACAGACAGACAGACAGACAGACAAGGTGATCTCTTGTTAGACGCCCTTCCCTCTTATCCAATCCATTCCTAGAGAGTCAGGAGGCCTTCCTGGAAGAGGGGCCATAGGAGCTGGCACCGAACAAATGAGCTGCTCTTTGCCAGGAGAAAGGCAGGAAGGGCTGTGTTCTTGGCCGGGGACACCGGCCGTGCAGAGGCTGGGAAAGGAGCTGGCAGGAGCGCCAGCTAGATGGCTGCCAACGACAAATACGTTTAAAAAACATATCTTAAAATAACCCAAACATCCTGAACTGCCACACACCCCAACAATGGGACAGGACTCGGGAATAAAAAGGAACTGAGCCCTGAGAAATACCACAACACGCGAACCTCGAAAGCACACGGGAAAAGCTTTTAAAAAGCCAGACAGCAAACACCGCGTGCTGTACGGTTTTATTTATGTGACATTCTGGAAAGAGGAGAACCACGGGGACAGGCACAAGGCCCACGGCTGCCCGGGGTGGGGGCAGACGGAGGAGATCGAGTGCCCAGGGCGTCAGAAAACTAGATGGGGCAGCTGAAATAGCCCGGACGCCGGTTTCCCGTGAGCTGTACACACCGGATAAAACTCATCAGACGGTGCATCTGAGCAGCATGAATGTTATGGTGTATTTTGAAAACATTTTGCTAACATTTTTGGAAGGTTTCATGGCGATGATTCAAATACCACACACAATCCACCCAATTAAAATGTGCAATTCAGCAGATCTTGCGCAGAGTTGTTCAGCCGCCGCCACGCTTTACGTCCAGGACACTGTCACTGCCCAAAACAAAGCCCCGTCCCCGTGGACAGTCACTTCCCCCCCCCTCCAGAGCCCGGCGCCCGCGAATCTGCCTCCTGTCTGCACGGATTTGCCTTTTTTCAGATATACCGAATCACACGCGTCTACAGGTGTGTCCGCAGAAACGTATTTCTCAAAAACAAGCAGGGAAGCCCAAGGGCCACGCCTGGCTCCGCTTAGCAGGATGTTCTCAAGGCCTATACCATTCATCCACGCTAAGTGTGGTTTGGAGTATATGCGCCTAACCAGTGTGACAACCAAAATCAAGAGAAAAGAGTGTTTTTATCGTGCCTGTTAAAAAGGGATGTACATAAGCACACGCGTGTTTACCCCGGCGTCATTCACAGCAGCCAAGGGGCAGAAGCGGCCCACGTGTGCGTCGGTGGGTGAACGATTACCATATGGCACATACATTCCGCGTACCCGGATGCAGGCTTCAACGGGAGCGAATTCGGACACAGGCCACCCCATGGATCAGCCCTGAAATCCGACGGCGAAGGGAGCCAGTCAGCGAAGGACAAGTGCCGTGTGATCCCCGTGACGTGACATGACATGCCCAGAGCAGGCGAATCCGCAGAGACAGAAAGCAGATGGGCCGTTGCCAGGGGAGGACAGGAGGCTCGGGTGCGCGGGCCGGGCTTCCTTCTGGGGCGATGGGGAGACTCAGTAACCGGGCGGCGGTGACAGTCACGTCCCATCGTGACTGCGCCAAATGCCACCGAATGGTACGCTTGTAAATGGTTTAAGTGGATGGTTTTATGATGAGTACATCTACCACACATTTTTTAAAAAAGATTAACTGCAAATTAAAATAAGATATTTCCCAAGAGACGGACACAAATTAAGTCACCTGGGAAAGCCACGCGCGGGCAAAGACGCAGGGAACTGGACGCCGCGTGGGCGGCTGGGGTCAGTGCACTGGAGCGCAGTGGGCGCGGCCTAATGGGTCTCGGCTTCGGTAACGCTGAGGTCCCCTGCTCTGCGCAGGGCACAGACGCTGCCCGGCACCCCTGGGGCCGCCCCCTGCACACCCGGAGGGACTGGAACAGGAGCTTCGCTGAAGATTATTCACCTTCCGGCATGACGCCACTCTCGCTCCGACAACGCGTGCTCCTGCTCTCGTCTCCTGCCCTGCCCATCCTGGGGCTAAAATGCGGGCCCCCACTCACGCCGGTCATCTCACAGCCCACGTGGGGCCGCACCCCACCGCCTGGCAGCGCTGCCCTGGAGGAATCGCCCCCTGCTAAAGCAACCACGTAGTCCCATTAACCCCGGTCACCCCAATCAACGTAATTAAAAAAAAATGAAGTTAAAAAACATCGTCTGAGCTTGGGGGAAAAAAAAAAGCACAGCGGGTCCCAAGCGAAGC